AATGGTTGTATATATTTCACGAAATATATTTCACGAAAGCATTGTCCGTATACAATGCATAGGACAGAAAATGAATTACATACTTGTATAAATGCGTGCATTCAAATCAACATCATTGAAACCTTTATGAAATTAACTTTTGTGTTAGAAAGCTACAAGCATTTACATACAATTGAAGTTCATAAAAGATATTTCATAATAACTGAGAATACAGTGTTAATGATATTTTTCATTCTTTTGTTTGAATGATAGAACTGAAATTTTTACGACATATAGAACTAATCAAGATCTTTTAGTTTTGAAAGTTTCAGCTCTCTGGCTACGACTAACGGTACAATACACCGATCAAATTGAAATACATAAGTTTTCATACTCACTTTTTGCCCCATTTTTCGGTAAAAATCGAATACGAAACTTTATGTATTTCAATTCGATTGATGTATTTTATCGGTAGTCACAGCTAGAGAGTTGAAACTTTCAGAACTAAAAGATCTTGATTAGTTCTATATGTCATAAAAATTTCAGCTCTATTGGTCAAACAAAAGTATGAAAAATATCATTAACACTGTATCCTCAGTTATTATGAAACACCCTTTTTGCCTCAGTAGCACATCCTCAGAAAAGAAATTCGCCAGAAAAAAAGACCAATGTACACGTTTTGGCAAAACAAATTATGCTAGGTTGTAGTTCATTTCAAGGGCTATCAGAATATGTATAAATCTCAAAATCGAGTTTTTTTCGAAAAATTGACTTTTCTGAGGCGGGGGGGCCCTTAAATGCTTAAGCTCTGTAACTATTCACTTGAAAACTTTCTTCCCTTCATTTAACATTTTCTACCCTCTTTCTTTTGATTGATTTAATGTCGAGAAGATATCATCGGGACTCAATATACAAACATAAAATTTATCTTCTACTTGATCAATGTATATCAATATTTTGTTTCCGTACAAGACTTTTAAATAGGTTTTATTTTGGCGAGAAAAGCTAAAAAGTACAGCGAAATGATAAGGAAGCTGATATTTGTTTATAAATAAATGCGAAAACTTCGGATTTAAATCCGACAGTTATGTGTACTTCAAAAAGTGAATCAGACGAATTAGCCATCCTAGAATGTGTAAACATCAAAATTATACTGGGGAACCTACCCTCTAAACTGTTGATTTCTATTGGGTATTGCCAAACTAATAGGACTTGGGACTGAATACAGCTCAAATTTGAACTCTTTCCCTTGATTTACCCTAAGAAAGTCGTTTTTCCTATAACTTGATTTCTATTAGTTACTGCTCAACCAATAGTATTTCGATGGAAGCGGAATGCAGATTCGAGTGCTCCATCTCAAAAAACCTCGAAGTATCATCTCTGTGATCGGAAGATAGAGCTCTATTTGTAGATCAATTAGATCGTGGACAAAAATAAAAGCTAGTTCTCTATAATTCTCTTTGTCATAGGTGAATCAACCTTCTTGTTTCTTTATGTTTTATACACCATTTTGTAGCTCTTGAAATTCTCTATCGAATGGTATATAATAGTTGGGGTTTTAGTTGACTACGATAGGAAAAGTCTTTTACGAAAGCGGCGATGCGTCGATTTTTCCATAGGAAGCTATAGGGGAAAATGGGTATTTTTGCAATAACTCAGGAACAGCTCGGCCGATCCTTCTCATCTTCGAATTCGACCGAGGTATTGTAAAGACTGAACTGTATAGAAAATTTCATCGTGATCGGACTCTCCTTTCGAAAGTTATCGTGTAAACGGCCGGACGGCCGGCCGGACATACTGACCGATTCTAGAGTGCACTCACTTTTTGAGTACACAAAAAAATGAAGAGCAAAGTTTTATATGCTTGAAGACAACAAAAAAGCACATTGACATTGAAGAAGATAACTAAATAAGAGAATCTAGAATGTAAGTTTCTTTCTAGATATTTATTCTTTACATAATCAAGATAAGTACTTACTTGAAGCAAAATAAGATGTTCGTGATAATGAGGTTTTTTCTTCTTGTTCTACTATTGATTTACTACAAAGTGAAATATTTTACGCTTCGTGATTCTCTACCCGAATTACCTCCACATTTTTTCTTTGGAAACTTAATTCAATCTGGTCTTCTATTCTATGATCAATCACCTCGACAAGTATTTTCGACATTTCGAAAACGTTTCGATGATACGTTTCAATTTTGGCTTGGTCCAACTCGTATTATTGTTGTTAACAAAATCGGTGATATTCAACACATTTTTACTAATCGTCATATTTATGATCAAGGTGAAATATACATTCAATTATTTAGTACTCTCTTTTCTGATGGATTAATTTGTCTCCGAGGTGAATATAGACTATGACGAAATATTTCATGCTTGTTTTCGTATATTTAGGAGCACAATACAAACGACATGCTTCAGTTACATTGCCAATATTTCACCGCAGTAAAATAATTCCACATTTCAATATCATTGTCGATTGTACCGATAAATTATTGACTCATTGGCGTGCATATTCAAGGGAACATGTGCATTGTAATATTATAAAACAATCTGAAAATGTCATGCTTGCCATTTTTGGTTGGATCGCATTTGACTATGATTTAGATACATTTGATCATGGTTGTAAAAATGAATTAACTCAAGCTTTAAAGAGCTATTTGAGTATACCCCCCCCCCCATAATAGAAGCTCCCGGGGACTTCTAAACTGTCCAGCGTCCAAAATTTTCGGAGGGGGCTTCTATTATGTCCTACGCTTTTTCAAAGATTTCAGGTACCAAAGTTTTTCAAAAGCCTTAACTTTTTGGTTACGGGTTTTTTTAAGATGAATCTTTTTTTTTCGTTCTAAAACAGTCTGAAATAATTTTTATTAGTATATAGAATTATTTAGAAGTGTTTTAAAGTATGATAATCCTCAAAACAACCTATCACACAAAGCCCAACATTACAAACATCACACTGATAACGTGTATTGGTATTCTTTTTCTCGCGTCTGCTTGTATAATTACAAACTATACAAGCTCTTCGTCCAATGTTTCCTGTTGCTGTTGCTGGAACTAGAGAAGGAAAATGACGTGCAGTAAGCCGTATGGGATTATTTCCGATAATCGGACGACCAATTGGATGTTTGGGCTCAGCGTATCTTTCAATCAATTGCCGGATCAATTCAGTTTGAAAATCACCAAATTGAATAGTTTTTTTATACTTTACTTTGAATAGTATATACGCATTCAAGGTTGATAAATCCAGCAGATGAAAGAAAAATTTTTTGTACCACTTGACAGTTTTTCGTACGCATTCTATAAAACTGATCTGGATATCAGTTTTGTCAACTGAGCCCATGTTTTCGTTATAGTCAATAATACACTCTGGTTTTGCAATCACTTTTTGAGTCTTCCAGTCATTTTTTTTGTGTTGGGATCATCTTTCGTTAATGAATTGTAGACAATATAATGACTTCTCGTTTGTCTTGCCACTTCAATGCCATAAGAATGTTAGTGTTGTTATAGTCGAAATCACCTTTCGTTAGTTGATTGAAGTTGACTGGACCAAGACGGTTTTTGCGTACAGTTCCACATGCACCGGTTTTGAATTCTTGTAATTTTCCAAATAGACGAGGGCTAGTATACCAGTTGTCGAGAAAAAGTGAATGTCCCTTGTTCAAATACGGCTTCATCAAAGTCATTACTACGGAACCGGATATTCCTAAATTTTTATCTAGCTCGAATTCCGTAGAAGAACCAGTGTATACAATGAAATCCAACACCACCCCTGTTTGGCAGTCGCAGGTAACGAATACTTTGATGCCAAATCGATGACGTTTAGTAGGTATAAATTGTTTGAAGGCCAAACGGCCCTTCCAAAGAACGAGACTTTCATCTATGCATAGGTTTTTGTAGGGACTCCTAAGTAATTTGAATTTCTTTCGTAGCTCATTTATCACTGGTTTGATTTTATGCAATCTATCGCCCTCCATTTGATTTGATTTATTGCTGAAATGCAAGTATTTCAAGAGTATCATAATTCTGTCTCTAGAAAATAGTTGTCCAAACATAGGTGTGACAATCATTGGTCAGTTGACCACTAGTCGAGGATCTTATTTTTTTTAGTTACAGTCATTAGCATAATGGTGGCTAGAAAAGTGTATATTTCAGAATGATTTGTCGGTATCCATTTAGCCTGATACGAAGCTGTATTATGTGTTGTATCATTGGTAGAAAAGTCGTGATACTTGTTCGTTTGTTCTACAATGATATCAATCATTTTTTCGTCAAACAATAATTCGAAAAATCAAGAGGAGTATCGCTCTTCATAGCGCTTATGTTTGATGAAACACCAGAGGTTTGTTCGTCGAAATGGAAGAGATGTGGTTTGAAAGCAGTTTTACTCCAGTTCTAATTTACAGATTGTTCTTTTCGTACTAGCTCGTCGTCTGATTCGTTACTATCCACGTCTGATGAGTAAACTTCATCAATATCCATTTCAGAATCATCTTCAGATCCACTATCCATCTGGATTTCATGAGGATCATCATTTGTAAAAGTTGCCATCTTTAGCGAAAAATTTTACGTAATAGATATGAATAATAAATTGTTTATATAGAAAGACACGTGTACAATAATGCAAGTTTATTTCGATTTTGTAAGAATATATATCGAAAGATATAAGTCGCTTCTTTATTTAGAATATACAGTTTTATATATACGAGAGAACGCATTGAAAAAGACAAAAAAAACAATAAACGAGAATATACAAGTAAAAGTAGAATGTGAGAAGCAGAAGTGTCAGAACGCAAGAGAGAGTACATAAATACACACATAGCTATCCTGGGCGATGACGCAATAATGTTACTAAGATAAGGGTAAAAGAAAGGAATCTTTTCGATCGAGTCTAAATAATATTATAATGACGGTAATATCTGCAAAACTTCAAATACCATATATGGGTGATCCGTAATCAAAGGGTTAGAATTCCACTGGGCCTTCTCCCACAAAACGGAACATCATTGCTCTGTTAGAAATATTACCTTGTGACACTTTTGAATAATGAATTAATCGGATTTTTTTTCGTTGTGTATATTGAACAATGAAACTTGTAGTTTTAGTTATGATTGAAGTGGCGAATTGCATTCATAGTAATCTATTAAAATACATCAATCAACCTTTAAGAGTTTTGTAAGAACACTGGCTTGTCTAAATACAAGATATTCTGATGATGTTGGTTCTCTCGTGATGATTATCTTCAATGGATTCAACATTACTATTGAAAAGTATGGAATTAAAGTAAAATGTAACGAAATTGTTTAATGCTGTATTTTTTGTTGAAAAATGATAAAATTCTTGCGCCTCTTTCAGTCAGATAAATGTTCTTTTTTTAAACTATTCATCAGGTAGATAATCAAGGTGACAACTTGATAACAAAAATAGAATAAAAGAAGCGTCATAATGTTGAAAGTATAAGCAATTTAGATATGACGAAAATATCAGTGTGTATTTTATTTCTAAGCTACATCTCTGCCGAGATTAATTCTGATAAATTCAAAATTTTGATTACTGTGCGTGAGTCGAAATCATTTATCAATGATATCGATGGTTTATCTTCGAATCATATGCTTATTTATCTGCTTTATACATATACTGAACCATATCAATTGGTAAAACTAAATACATCAACATTACATCCACTATCCAGTGCAATATTACCATTTCATTATAATGATACAACATTTCGACAAGATTTTTTTCTTGTAACATTTTCCGACGATCAACTATTTGTAGGTTATGTGCAATATGAAGGAAAACCAGCAGCCGCAACATGACTGCAAGCAATCGATTTGCGCTCGATGACAATCAACGACATTTGAAGCAAGAATTTTCATTCAAACAATTTAGTGATTTCCCATTGTTTCAAGCAATATCAAATCAACAAAAAATTATTGTTAATCTCTGGCAATGGTCTATATTTTTAACTGTCAAAATTTTCTAACTAAAATAGTGTACTAAAACGAAATGAAATGTTTCTTTTTTATGAGAACAAAGAAAAAAGCTAGAAATAAATGAGAGGACTATCGACCTTAAAAATGTAAATAACCAATGCGTTCAACGGAAAAAGCATATTTTCTGAGAAGACAACAGTTAGGATTAGAAAAACTTTATTCAAATAGGACTAATTTTTATGAAACCACAATGCATTTGATTATCAAACAAGTTTGCAATTTTTTCCTAGGGATTTGATTACAAAAATATAACAAAACCTCAAATCATTAATGGTCAATTACCTTCTACAGGTCCATACGACAGTTGACTTCTTCCTAGTATTTCTTCTCTAGATGAAACTCCTCAATTACTTCTGATGTACGATGAAAATATCCTATATACACTTAATGTTAGTTGTTCATCGCAGTGGATAATCAACACACAACTATCGAATATACAGTTAGAATTTTTGTCAAAATCATTATCCTTTCATATGGATGTTGTCAATGCGAGTACAATTGCTGTAGCTGATGATCAAATGAATGTTTTCGCTTATAATCTTTATGATCAACAATTGTCTACAACATTGAATTTACGAAAAATGTTTCCTGATTATCCATGCATGTCAGAACAGATAGCAAGTAATTTACGAGCTAATGATCAGTACGCCTATGTGACGAGTTCAACCAATATTGAACCGTTTGATCAACAATATTTATTTCGTATTCATTTCAATGATACGATGAAAGGTGTTGATTTACTTCCATTCGCGGATGAAAATTATGGTTTAACAGAATTAGTCACATTCGTAGACACTGTTTACCCATTTGAGCGGTTATATGAGGCTGAAGACTATTTCAACAAGTAACGTTCATCGGATGCCGATTCACTCATCCCTAGACTAAAAGGCGATGAAATGTGATGTGACTAGATATGTAAATGAGACTATCAAAGGGTACATCTCTCGCTGAAATCCAAAGATGTGCTACAAGAGAAAAGCCGAGTGTTTTTAAACTTCATAATTAGAAATCAGTTCAAAATAAAAGCAATTTAAAGGTAAGAAGTCAGAACTACAAAGAACAGAAACATAAATATCTAAAAGTTGTAAAAAAAGAAATAATATTCATCGAATGCAGATTCACTTTACCGTAGACTGTTGAGTGTTGAATATATTTGAATGACCAAAGAACTGGAGATTTTGAAACAAGAAATTTAAAA